TTTTTTTTTTTTTTTTTTGAGACGGAGTTTTGCTCTCGTTACCCAGGCTGGAGTGCAATGGCTCAATCTCGGCTCACCGCAACCTCCGCATCCTGGGTTCAGGCAATTCTCCTGCCTCAGCCTCCTGAGTAGCTGGGATTACAGGCACGCGCCACCATGCCCAGCTAATGTTTTGTATTTTTAGTAGAGACGGGGTTTCACCATGTTGACCAGGATGGTCTCGATCTCTTGACCTTGTGATCCACCCGCCTCGGCCTCCCAAAGTGCTGGGATTACAGGCTTGAGCCACCGCGCCCGGCCTTAAATTGATATTTCTAAGCCTCAATATTCTGTTAGATGGGAAAAACAAGAGCATCCACCTTAACAGCGTTGTTGGGAAGCTTAACGGAAATAATCCACATCAGATGCCTAGCATAGAACTTGGCGCAGAATAAGTTCTCAAATTAATTGTAACTTTCTGATTATGCATTGTCTGTCCAAGGGAAACTGCATTTTATCTGGAAACACTGCCTTCCCCCGAGCGAAGCAGCTGGATGGATGATGGGCTTCGTGGCAGTGCGTCAGCAGGAAGACTAAAGACCTCCAATGTTCCCATGGTGTCTGTAATGGGGCTTCCCCTGCCTCTGACCTGGTGGGCCCACGCTGAGGGTTGTCCTGTTCATCCTTACAGGTCCGGGGCCTGCCAAGTACCTCCGGCCATCCTGCACAGGCTACATAAATCATGACATCTCCATGTTCAAGGCACCGGCTTATACCCTTCATACGCGGCACTCAGAGAAGCGTGAGTGTTGTCACCCCAGTTGCCCTGGGGTTGGAGCTGTGGTTGGAGGTTGAGGGGAGAGACATAGAGCCATTCTCTGTAGCCACTGGGAATCTGAGTGGGACACTTGAGGGACCCCCTAGGTCCACAGGAAGCCAGCAGGGATTGAGGGTAGGGTAACTCCATGGGCATCCCCCAGCTGCCTCTCCCAAGGGAGCCTGTAGGGGATGCTGGCCCTGTCTAGCTGCCACAGCAGAGTCTCCCTCTATCTGGCCTTTGGCTGGGGCCCTTCAGCTCTGGTCACCATGCTCTGCTGGGGTCACTTGCCATTGTGGCCAGGCAGGAACAGCCAGGGGGCCAGTGGGGCAGTGGTGGCCCCCAGAGCTTCCCAGGTGGTCTAGAAGTCACTGGAAGGGCAGGAGCAGAGGCTACAGATGACCTGGGCTGCTGGCCAACGTGTGGTGGCATGCAGCCGGGGGTCTGAGATCTGGGAGGTCTGCCAGGCCTTTCCCTGGGAGAATACCCACCTCAGCAGGGAAAGCCCCTGGCCTGGCTGGGCCTTTTCTGAATGCCTCCTTGGCCCTGATCCCCGATTGGGTGGGTGGCTGTCCAAGCTGCTGTCCAGCTGTTATTTTACTGTTCCTCTGAGCAAGTTCTTGAAAATATCAGGTCATGTGTTAAACGCCCCATTTTACAGATGAGGAAATCAAGGGTCCCCAAACATACAGGGGCCAAAGGATCTGAAGGGGGAGGGAATCTCACCTGGAGGCAGGCCAGGTGCTCAGTGGGGCAGCCTCTGGGGCTGACCAGGCCCTCTCTTTGGCTGCCCTGCAGGGATCGTGGATCACAGCAGCCCTGGGCCTTGCTATGTCTTGGATCCCCAAATAACTCGGTTCGGAATGTCCAGCTGCCCGCAGGTCCCCATGGTGGAGCGCATCTCCAGCCTGCGTAAGACGGGGCTAGGCACAGATGTTGGGGGTTGGGAGGCTGGGGGATGGGGTGCACCCCTAGGACCTGAGCAGGGGCAAAGGGTCAAGACTCCTTCCCTGAGAATGTCTGGATGTCAGTATCTCCCTGCAAGACACTCACATTGTGATGCTGCCACCACGTCTTGAAGTCAATGTTACGACACACAGCATGTCACCAGGTGACATTGTGATGACGTGGGCTCCTGTTGTGGATGCAATATTGTCACACGAATGCGCTCACAGACTGCAGTGATCTCAGGATGTTCTGTTTCAGAGGGACAATGTCTGGATGATGACGTTATGGTTTTTACATGATGACCACTGTGTCGTCATCCTGATGTCAGGATGGCCTAAGTGACCATCTTAATGATCCTGCTCTACTGCTGAGGTGGTCAGCCTGAGGTCACAGCAGGATAACCAGGGCCCATCAGTTGGCTAGCAGAGAATGAGGTCTGGTCCCTGCTCTAAGACCCTCCCTTCCGCCACTCCCTTTCAGGCCTGAACCCCACCCTCGCGTCCTGCCAGTACTACTTTGAGAAGATCCCACCACCTGGGGAACACAGGGCTCCCCAGTACACTTTTGGCTACCGGCGCCCGTACAGAGTGATGGACCCCAACCCGGCCCCCAACCAGTACCAGCTGCCACTCTTGCTGGGGCCCAACAACCCCGTCAGCCAAGCTTCTCCCTGCTACAGTCTGGCCTCCAGGGACAAGAACTGGTTCTACAAGGAGGATGTGGCAGGGGGCCCTGGACCTACCACGCACGCCCGGCCTGAGCCATCCACCTATCAGAGCCGCAGTCCTGTCTACAGCATGGCCAAGCGCTTTGCCTACCCGCTGGACCACACACCGCGGCCTGGCCCTGGCTCCCACGAGGTCCAGCAGGTCACTGTGCACAAGCCCCATGCCCCTGCCTTCACCATGGGCATCAAGCACTCACCCCACCTGTGCCCACTGGTCGTCGACATTCGTGACTGAGGCCCCTCCTGGGGCATTCACTGCCCCCCATCCCCGGAAATTATTTTTCTGTACCAAATTGAGCAACTTGACCAAGATTTCTAGCAGCAGAGCTGGTGCCTGCTGATGTCCGGCACATAGAAGGCATTAGAGATATATTTTCAATTATTCCTTTTTGCCTTTTGTATTCACAGTTGCTTCCTGTGGGTCCTGCTCTGGGTGAGGGGTGGGGGACACTGGAAGGAATGGTATAGTCCCTGTCCTTGAGTTCCATTCTGGTTCACCAGGTGGGGAAGCCATATGTCCTCCAAGGAGCCCCAGGCAGGGACTCGGGAGAGCTGTGTTCCAGTCCTAACTCTGCCACTAACAGGCTGTGTGGCCTTGTGCAGCTCCTGCCCCTCTCTGGGCTCAGGACTGCCCTTTAGAGAGTGCAGGGGGTAGGCCTGGAAGAGGACCAAGTTGCCCCAAGTTCCAGAACTGTGAGACTCTGCTGACAGTGGACAGTCCCTGAGACAGGGGCAGGGCAGGTGGGGGCGTGGGCAGAGGAGTGGGGTTTCTCTGGCTGAAAGTGGGGGAGAGGGGTTTCCTCAGGGAGGGACCAAGGAGGACAAGAGGAGACAGTGTGCTGGGGAGGGCGAAGGTGGAGGTCAAGGTGAGAGCAAAGCATGCAGGTGCCCTGGAAAGGCCAGGGACAGGGAACTGGGGAGATGCAGAGTTGCAGGGACCTGGGGTGCAGGGGGCGGGGCTGCATCATGGGCAGCTGGAGGGGCCTCAGGCTTTGCCCTGAAGCTGTGAGGGCTGAAAGATGCTGTGGGCAGTGAGAAACCTGGACAGGATGGGCAGCGGAGGCAGCTCTCAGCCGCGCCGACTGCCGGGAAGGGTCTGCTTGTCACATGCTGTTCTTGGAGAGTCACTCGCTGTGTCCCCAACCTCAACAGCTTAGCCTGGCAGTGCCTGTCAGAGGAGCAGCCACGCATTAGCCAGGAGGGGACAGCGTTGCCTGGATCTTCAAGCCCAGGCCTATGCCCACCCACCTCGACCCCCACCCGCTCCGGCCTGACTGCTGCTGGGCGGACAGGTGCCATCTCCCGTTGGTCTTTGAGGAGGCTAGGGTCTCTGGGGCTGGCATTTGTCCTTCCTCCATTCTTGGCATCCAGACCCCAATTCACCTCCACCCCGGGACACAGGAGGGTGTGAGGGGAGTTCTACCTTGACCTGGCAGCCTGAGGCCAGTGTGAGGCATGGAGGGGACGTGGCTGAGGCCGGTGCAGGGGCTGGGAGGGAGGGTGGGAGCCATGGAGGGGGTGGGGGTGAGAAGAGCCTTCAGGTCCAATGACTCAGGCAGAAGCACACTATTCCGCAGAGCAGAGGGAGATGGGAAGCGAGCACCACCTCAGAACCAGCGTCCAACGGCTCATCCTTGTAACCCTGAGCAATTTCCAGGTTTTCATTTAAAGTGAAAACTGAGGTTAGGCACGGTGGCTCATGCCTGAAATCCAAGCACTTTGGGGGGCTGAGGTGGGCAGATCACTTGGGGTCAGGAGTTCAAGGTCAGTCTGAACCTGAACAACATGGCGAGACCCCGTCTCTACTAAAAATACAATAAGCCGGGCATGGTGGTGGGCACCTGTCCTCTCAGCTACTTGGGAGGCTGACATGGGAGGATTGCTTGAGCCCAGGTGGTAGAGGCTGCAGGGAGCTGTGATTGTACCACTGCACTCCAGTCTGGGCGATAGCGCAAGACCCTGTTTCAAAAAAGAACAGAGAAGAAAGTTGAATTGAGGACCCAACTTTGGACAGAAAGGAACAGAGGATATAATATTCTTTGGACTATTTTAAAAAGTACATGTACAGCTAAACACTTAGAAAACAGCCTGTGGTAAACCCCTCTAGGGATGTCCTTGGCTCTGGGCCCTGAGGTTCCCTCCATCCCACCTGCCCCCAGGTCCTGGGCTTTGTGTCTGCCCACCCTCTCAACAAGGCTGGCCTGGGCAGGCTCTCGGGAGGCTGCGGGAGCTCGGGGACCCATCTGTCTTGCAGCAGATTAGAAAGATGTCATTTTGCCAATAGTGCCATTTCTCACGGCAGCTGCAAAAATTAGTGATGCTTGTGCTGTCAGTGTTGGGTGGGGGTGGGAGCTGGCAGGTGACAGCAGCCAATGCCCCCGCGTTACCAGGTCAGGGAACTGCAGGCCAACCTCTGAACAGGGCTTCTCTGACTTAACACCTAGCCCAGGTGCAGGCCCTCCGTAGGAAGGATGAGGAGGCTGAGGCCCAGAGCCCGGAAATAACTGTGGCCGCATGATAATCTTTTTTTTGAGACGGGATTTTGCTCTGTCGCCCAGGCTGGTGTGCAGCGGCACAATCTTGGCTCACTGTAGTAGCTCGGACTACAGGCACACGCCACCAAGCCTGATTAATTTTTAAATTTTTTGTAGAGACATCTTGCTATGTTGCCTTGGCTGGTCTCGACCTCATGGCCTCAGGTGATCCTCCTGCCCTGGCCTCCCAAAATGGGATTACAGGGTTGAGCCACTGTGCCCAGCCCATGTGACAAATTAATGGCCCGTCTCTAAATACAGGTTTAGGTTCTGTGTGTGACAAGGATCAGGGCTCAGTGGGTGACCTGGGTCAGCGCTTGTCTGGGGTGAGGTGCTTTACTTTTTTTTTTTTTTTGAGATAGAGTCTCACTCTGTCACCAGGCTGAAGTGCAGTGGTGCGACCTCAGCTCACTGCAATCTCCCAGGTTCAAGTGATTCCCCTGCCTCAGCTTCTTGAGTAGCTGGGACTACAGGCATGGGCCACCATGCCCAGCTAATTTTTGTATTTTTAGTAGAGATGGAGTTTCACCAGGTTGGCCAGGATGGTCTCCATCTCTTGATCTTGTGATCCGCCTGGCTCGGCCTCCCACAGTGCTGGGATTACAGGCGTGAGCCACCGCGCCTGGCCAGTGCTTTACTTCTATTAGGACTAAACCCTATTTTTGCTTTTATAGCTCAGTTTAGGACAGACCTTCAGCCTGAGCTGAAGGTCATTAGCTTGAGCTCGACCTTTGGATGAAATGGTCCCATCACTTGGTCTTGCCTTTCCTGTGGTAGCGCCCCCGGAGGGGTGACCTGCAGAAGGTCAGGAGCGGCCTCCCAGGTCTAGGGGAGTGCTGACGCGGCCCCTTCTGAACAACGCTGGGGGTCCTAGCTTGACCTTGCAGAAAGCCCTGGTTTGAATCTGTATCTTCAGGTCGTTAGGCCCCGGAGCTGGCACCTGATCACACACAAAGCCCCCATCCATCATCCAACAAACATTTGCTAAGCTCCTGCCCTGTGCCAGGCCCTGGCTGGAGCATGGGCATGCAGAATCGGTCTTCACCTGGAGCCCTGCCTGGCCTCCAGGAGGTCAGAGGCTGTGTGAGCGAGAGGGTGGGAATTCGCCCTCTCCTACCACGAGCGGTAAATGGAGGCTGGATGAGGTTCGGGACCTGGCAGGAGGCCCACCTGAGGTTCTGCCCGTCTCTCTAGGGGGCAAGACAGGCCTGACTCCGTGTTGCGTTACCTCTGCCACGGCTTGGTGGTAACATCGCAGTCCCACCAGTCTCCACGACACTGGCTGGGGTGGGGGCTGGTCTCTGTTCCGCTGTTGCTGGAGGGAACCCCAAAGCCAATCACGATTCTGGCTCCCAGGACCTGGGGTGATGGTGGACCTGGGTCAGGAGCAGAAGAGGGGCCTTGCCTGCAGGGACACGGGGGCACAACATATGGAGGCGCACAGGTAGGGGGTGCACACACGTGTCCATTACGGCATACACGTGGCGCAAGACACATAAATGCGCAGACCCACACCTTACTCTACACACACGCCAGGTACCACCGCCTTCAAACACATGCCTCATGCGACAGTCATAAGGAAAACGCAGAAGCGACCCACGCGTGTACTGCGCATGCCCAGACCCACGCCACGCCCGGCCACAGCTGTTACTCCGCCCGTCCCGCCCCTCCTGCCCCTCTCTCCCAGGCTTCTCCTGTCTCCTGCACAGATAGGCGCCCACCCAGGCTCACTGGCGCCCCCCACTGCCCTGGAGAAGTAAGTCTACAAACCCTGAGATGCCCCCACAGGCAGGGGGAGGCGGGATGCGCCTCGGAGGGAGGTCCCGGGAGTCCCTGCATTCCCGCAGCAGCAGCGGCCTCTGGCTGCTCTCGGCCCCCGCGGTCTGGGCCCCGGCCTCTGGGCGCTGCGCACGTGCTTGGGAGAGGACGCCCACGAAGACAAGCCGGGGCCCACCCCTGCTCCCAGCACTCAGAGACGCCCCCCTCGGGAGGACTAAACAGAGCTCCTGCCACCGGCTCCTTGGGGTGGGGTGGGGGCTGGCGGGAGGACACATCCCCCGAGCCCTGGGGGTCCAGGCCGCGCGGCCCTGCTCACTGGCGGGGCGTCGCCCGCCCCCCGCGTTCCTCCGCTCCCGCTTCCTCTCCCGCCCACGTGCCCCCGCAGGGTTCTCTCCCCCAGACCCTCCCCCACGCCCGCCCGGCTTTCCTTTCTCTGCTCTCTGGGTCCCTGTTATCCTCTAGAATAAAGGTCGACATTTTCAATGACCCCCAAAATAACAGAGCGGTTCTCTGGCCTGGCGGAGGAGGGCGCGCGGGCGCGGGTTCGCGTGAGGGGCCTGCGGGGCGGGGCCTGCGGGGGCGGGGCCTGCGGGGGCGGGGCCGGCGGGGCGGGGGGCGGGGGGAGCGGGGGGCGCCAACCGTCCCAATGGCCTTTGTTTGCTTTTTCTCATCCGGAGCTTTCCTGTTTTCCTGGAAGACTGGAAGCGCGTTTCCCTTCAGGGGAGGAAGGGAGACAAAAGAGAAATAAACACCGTCCTGGTTGTCTTGTGAACAGCGGAGCGCGGAGCGGGGGCTCGGCAGGAGGGAGGGACGCCAGGGAGCGGCGGGACCCAGAAAGGGGCCTGCGGGCTGGGGTGGGGTCCGACGGCACGCGGGGCGCGGAGCAGGAGCCCCTCCAGGCCGGGGGCGGGTGGGCGTCCTGCAGGAAGGGCGGCCGGGAGGGGAGCAGGGCGGGGCTGACGCGGGACTGCTGCGGGCCGGGGTCTGAGGACAGGCAGCGTGTGCCCATCGCCAGGAAGGCGCTTTTCTCTGTGTCCCGCCCTGCGCCAGGCTCTGGGGGCGCTGAGGTGAGTGACAGACGTGTCTCCGCTCTCATGGGGCATAAACTCTACCGGAAACTAAGCGGTGGCTTCTGTGATCAGCACTCGTATCCACTGAGGTTCAGAGAGGGTGGGTGACCTGCCCGAGGACACACAGCGGGAAGTGAGGGGACCGGGATCCCAGCCAGGTCCGTGTGACCGCCGTCTCCTTTCACACCGCCTCCGCCGGGCACACTTGGCTCCCGGGGGGCCTTGAGCAAGTGCTCCCCTCTCTGGGCCATCAGTTTCCCCATCTGACTGGCGCCCTGCAGGGCTGCGGGGAGCATCGCATGTCTGGATGTGAAGGACGCTCAGCTCTGGCTCTCGGGCGAGCTGGCTGGGGGTGGGGGGGCAAAGACCACCGGGTGCTGGGGAGGGACTGGCCGCGGGGAAAGTAGGCCGGACCGCAGCTTCACTCCCTGCTGCCGCCGCGTGGCAATAACTGGGTTCTGCCGAGGGTGGGTCTGCACCGCCTTCTTCTGCTTGCACAGGCCCCTGAGCAGAAAGGCGCCTCGAGGGAGTGTTGTCTGGTCCTCCCTGGCCCCATTTTTCGGATGCCCAGAGAAGGGAGGGGCTCCTCCTCCGGTCATCCAGGGCAGAAGCTTGGGCTGGGCTGGGGTTGGCTTTCAGGCTAGGGTGCTTCCCTCCAGCCCTGCGGTACTCAAGAAGCCCCCAGTGAGCTTCAGAGCAAGAGAGACAGAGTTCTGCATCCTCTATTTGATGCCACCACCTCCAGGGAGGTTTCCAGGGTCTCCTCCAGTAGGAAGTGGTCTCACTCCTGCCCTGCATTCCCACACTCGAACTCTCCTTGCTCCTGACCCCACCAACCTTGACTGTCCTTCTGCCCACAGCAAATCAGGCGCAGCCCCCCCCCCCCCAGGCAGGGGGATGGTGGAGAACCATCGTCACCATTCAGGGAGCATGTGCCAGGGGCCCGCTCTGTGCTGTGGCTCTACCTGCGTCCTCTCATTTGAACCTCGTAAGAACCTCAGCAAATTGGGGTTATTTTGATCCCCATTTTTCAGGTGAGGAAAGGGGCACAGAGGTTATAACTTTTAGATGGTGGACAAGGATTCAAACCCAGGTCTGTCTGTACTCTGGAGAGGCGCCGGCATTTGGAGATGAAAACTACCCCCATGGCCATATGACAGTCCAGTGTGACCCGACACTGAAATAACCAGTCCAGGGGGCTTGTGGGCTGGGGTCTCAGCTTCACTGCTGTGCTGGTGGGTGATTCAGGCCAGTCTCATCCCTCTCTGGACCCTGGTTCCTCATCTGTGTACTGTGTGTGTGTGTGTGTGTGTGTGTGTGTGTGTGTGTTCTGGGCTACCTCAGATATCCATTCTGGCTTTGAGTGTGGCATGTCCCATTTTGGGCAGGTCCCAAGGCTTGGGCCTTGGGATGGAAGGTCATGCGGAGCAGATGCAGACGGCAGTGTGAGAGGCAGAGCTCTGGCTGGGAGTTGGGCCCCTTGGGTGCACCTCCTGCTTGTGTGGCAGTGTGTAGGGCTGTGGATCGAGGGGAGGCATGGACTGTGAGGGTCCGAGGGATCCAGCTCTGGGACAGGTATGGGGCTGGTCCTAGGGCCTGGATGGGTCTCCCTTCGCTGCCTGCCACAGAGAGGAGTTTGTCTTGCGGGAAACATCCTCGTCCATCAGTGGCAATGGGGCGCTGACAGTGACCACTCCCCGCCAGCCCAGGCTGGAGGCAGACTCATAAATCCCACTCCAGGCAGGGCTGTAAATTCCTGTGATTCACATCCGGCCTCTTGGAGGACAGAGACATTTGGGGCCGTGGCGCTGGCCTGCCTGCCCGATTCCCAGTTGAGTGCTCCTTTTACGGAAGCATGCTCTCTGCAGTGTGCAGGGCTCCTTCCTCCAGAAGCACATGTGGATTCGGAGGAGGGCTTTTGGAGACTACGCCCTAACACGCCTCCTTCCCTACCAGCTCCCAGTGCCCGGCACCCTCACTGGCAGGCACATGCAGCACAGATCTGGGGTGTGCAGCCACTCGGCACACTGAAGCACACACGTGGGCAGTGTCACAACATAGAAGCTCACCTGCACACAGAGGCATTTGCACCAGCTCCCTGCACAGTCATGCCTGTGGACCACCCGTGCTGCTCATGGAGACAGGGCTTGCTCACTAATCTTCAGCAATTTCTCCACCTAAGAGCCTTCCATGGCTCTCCACTACCTACAGGATTGAGCCCCAACAAGTCAAATTCTTTGGAATTTGAAGGTTCTCCACCCTATGCCCACCCTCCCACAGAGCTCTTCCTCATTCTGTCTCTGTTCCCTGCTTTGGCCAGTGGTGCCCACACTACACCTCTGCCCACACTGCAGCTCTTTACCCAGATACCCTCCAGTCCCTCCTCACATAAGCCTGTCTCAGTCATGCCCCAGACCACATTGAAGTCAGGCTGCCTTGAAGAAGCTCTTCCAGACTGCTCTTTTCCCCAAGGCAGGGCCATGATTTGCCAAATGTCTCCTGGGTATCAGTGAGACTGGAGTCAGAGCAGGCATCAAACCTTACCTCCCATATGTCACACCTCACCATAGACCTGGGCGCCAAATACCCTGAAGAGTCTGAACTCACATTGGCGGTTAGCAAAGTGCTCCTACAGCCACATCTGCAGTTAACACAGCACCCCTGTTGCCACTGTCTCCCTTGATCCCCACAACTAGCAGAATCCAACTATAAAAATAAATTTAAGGGCACAATTCTCTACTAATGACTCCCCCAGACAAATCATTACTTGGATAGCAATGAATCAACTAAAAATGGAAGTGAGAACAGTCCTTTTTGCAATAGATGGATGTTTATGAGACTGTTAAGTGAAGAGGGTTCAGAAACGGGGATAAATGGCATGCTAATTTGGGGTTGAATGGAGTAACGGGATGATCTTGAAATATAAGAATCCTGCCTAATGGGGCTTGTCTACTTGCAATTCGATAAACTAATATACGTAAATTCAAAGAGATAAAGGACGTGAGCACTGAGAACAAAATTACAGGAATAAATTTAGCACAGAGGCACCACAGTTGAGATAAGGGTCACTGTTCCACGTATGATACTTTTAATTCCTGAGTCATGGGGATGGTAATCCAGGGAACAGAATCTTCTGGCTGGAAGCTAAAACCCACTTGGGGTGGGTTCAGAGAGCCTGTTCAGACTCAAGAAGCGAAAGCAGATGTTGCGTGGTTGAAAATATCCCGATTGCAAGGGCATTTTCAAAGACAATGGTGCTTGGAGAAAGAGAATGTTGTGTATTTTAAAAGAAAAAGAACTAAAAGGAAGACTGGAACAAGGAAGGAAAAGTGACCAGAGGGTAGGGTGACCATATGTCTGCTGTCCCGGTGCAATTATAATAGGGCCCCTTTCACTCTCCGAAGCGTCTGGATTTGGACGATAAAGCATATGATCACCCTACCAAAGAGAGGAAATCAGCCAGAAGGCCCATGTGTCCATTTCAGACGCTGTGCACTGATCCGCGGCCCAGCTGAGCGGTGCGCACCACCTCTGCCTCGCCCTACCCCGCCCTGCCCGGGTCTCCAGGAAGGCTGGAGCAGAACCCTCGGCTCCCGCGCTGCTCTGGTGCCACCTGCAGGTTATATGGGGGAACAAACTGTTTTTGGAGATACATCTCGATTAAAAAAAAAAATCGTGGTGGGAATCATTTACACCCTATGAGAGTCATCTAACGCTCCCTTTTCTTCTCAGACCTTTTAGCTGAAGTTGGTTATGAGGGAGGATGGGGAGGGGAAAGGGTTGGGGTGAGCACTCTTGGAGCGCACTGTTTCTTGCCGACGCCCTGGCTCAGTGTGAATGTCAAACTAAATGGAGAGCGCTAAGGATGTTCCTCTCTATTCCTTTTATCACCAATACCGATTCCCAAGGCAGACCCAGGAGGGCTGGACTGAAGGATCTTGAGGTAATAGAAGACGGCTTGGCTTTGGATTTCAGGTCAAGTTCTGCCGATGACTTGCTGTGTAAGATCAGACAAGTCAGTTCACCTCTGTGTACTTCACTGACCTCATCTGTAAAAGGCTGGTCTGGACTAATGAGTCAGTCTCAAAAAAAAAAAAAATCATTACTCTTGTCTCAGCCAGGCTGGAGTGGAGTGCAGTGACGTGATCTCGGCTCACTGCAACCCCCACCTCCCGGGTTCAAGCAATTCTCCTGTCTCAGCCTTCCAAGTAGCTGGGACTACAGGCACATACCACCACACCCGGCTGATTTTTCTATTTTTAGTAGAGACGGGGTTTTACCATATTGGTCAGACTGGTCTTGAACTCCTGACCTCAGGTGATCCACCCACAGCAGTCTCCCAAAGTGCTGGGATTACAGGCATGAGCCACCACTCCCAGCCTAATGATTTTCTTTAGGTTTTGCAATTGTTTTTTGTTTTAACATTATACTGAATTCTTCCTCCAACAGTATTAAAGCATAATTGATAAATAA